GTTTTTCTTCACCCTAACCACACTGCTAACATTATGCCTAACCTTAAGCAAATTTTTGTTTTCATTATGTTTTACAATATAGCCAATTTCTACTTTGTGGCTGTGGTAACTAGTGACAGCCGCTGAGCCGATCGTAGGAAGGGAAACATGTTTATTGTTTAAAAAAAAGTCCTGACCTGTCCTGTAAACTCTGTGAATGAATAATAAACCAAAGAATAATGGACAATTTAAAAATGTATAAACATAAATCATACTACTTATCAAACTAATGTATTTATGCAAGTACTTAGGTGATACTGTAGATGCTCCAACTATGAACAAACTATCAACTGCGAGTCAAACAAGGCAGCATCATTTACACTTATAAACATCACTCTTAGTGGTAGCTTTCTCAAAAGAAAGTGCATTCCAACCAAACCACAAAATGGCCTACAAATCAAATTGTATTTGTCACATGCTTCATAAACAACAGGTGTAGACTAAGTGTGAAATATTAATCTGCACAAACTGATCTGTAAAACGAAACTCACAAATATGTGAGGCCACTCACAAATATGTGGAGAAGCTCACAAATATGTGTAGCAACTCACAAATCTTAGGCAACTCAAAAATGTAATGTAAGTCAGAAGTATGTAAAATGCAGGTCATAAATGTAATCTGTGTAGTCACAAATGTTGTCACATTCACAAAAACATATTTGACCGCTGTTGTGTTTGCAAAGCAATAAATATATTTGTAAAATATGCAGTGTTAATGAGCAAAAAACTATCAAAACCAGTCTTGCATTTATTTGCCAATCATCATTTGTTTTTGTTAATGATGACTCATTTGCTTTTGGATCATGAAATATGTTTATGAAACTACATGGGCATATCTGCAGACTGGTTTTTATTTGCAAGTTGCATTCTGTATTCGCACAACACCTCTTCTGTTTGTGACTGTTTGCGGTCCTCTGTAGCTCATTTGGTAGAGCATGGAGCTTGTAACGCCAGGGTAGTGGGTTCGATCCCCGGGACCACCCATACCTAAAAATGTATGCGCACATGACTGTAAGTCGCTTTGGATAAAAGTGTCTGCTAAATGGCATATTATTATTACTTAGATTTCTATCAAAATGTTGTAAATATATATCTCCATATCCCAATAATTTGTTGAGCATGCAAATCTTAGAATCTCCGCCTATGCCAAAATTTAGGTAGAAATGTATGCACGGTTGATAAATGAGGCTCCTGGACACAGAACTGGTGAACAAGACTCCAGATACCATAATTATAAGTTATTTATATATTATTTATATTATTGTTAATATTATTATTATTTACAGTGGGGAAAAAAAGTATTTAGTCAGCCACCAATTGTGCAAGTTCTCCCACTTAAAAAGATGAGAGAGGCCTGTAATTTTCATCATAGGTACACGTCAACTATGACAGACAAATTGAGGAAAATTTTTCCAGAAAATCACATTGTAGGATTTTTAATGAATTTATTTGCAAATTATGGTGGAAAATAAGTATTTGGTCACCTACAAACAAGCAAGATTTCTGGCTCTCACAGACCTGTAACTTCTTCTTTAAGAGGCTCCTCTGTCCTCCACTTGTTACCTGTATTAATGGCACCTGTTTGAACTTGTTATCAGTATAAAAGACACCTGTCCACAACCTCAAACAGTCACACTCCAAACTTCACAATGGCCAAGACCAAAGAGCTGTCAAAGGACACCAAAAACAAAATTGTAGACCTGCACCAGGCTGGGAAGACTGAATCTGCAATAGGTAAGCAGCTTGGTTTGAAGAAATCAACTGTGGGAGCAATTATTAGGAAATGGAAGACGTACAAGACCACTGATAATCTCCCTCGATCTGGGGCTCCACGCAAGATCTCACCCCGTGGGGTCAAAATGATCACAAGAACGGTGAGCAAAAATCCCAGAACCACACGGGGGGACCTAGTGAATGACCTGCAGAGAGCTGGGACCAAAGTAACAAAGCCAACCATCAGTAACACACTACGCCGCCAGGGACTCAAATCCTGCAGTGCGAGACGTCTCCCCCTGCTTAAGCCAGTACATGTCCAGGCCCGTCTGAAGTGCATTTGGATGATCCAGAAGAGGATTGGGAGAATGTCATATGGTCAGATGAAACCAAAATATAACTTTTTGGTAAAAACTCAACTCGTCATGTTTGGAGGACAAAGAATGCTGAGTTGCATCCAAAGAACACCATACCTACTGTGAAGCATGGGGTTGGAAACATCATGGTTTGGGGCTGTTTTTCTGCAAAGGGACCAGGACGACTGATCCGTGTAAAGGAAAGAATGAATGGGGCCATGTATCGTGAGATTTTGAGTGAAAACCTCCTTCCATCAGCAAGGGCATTGAAGATGAAACGTGGCTGGGTCTTTCAGCATGACAATGATCCCAAACACACCGCCCGGGCAACGAAGTTATATTTTGGTTTCACCACAACTCCTGAGTGGCGCAGTGGTCTAAGGCACTGCATCGCAGTGCTAACTGGGCCACTAGAGATCCTGGTTCGAATCCAGGCTCTGTCGCAGCCGGCCGCGACCGGGAGACTAATGGGCGGCGCACAATTGGCCCAGCGTCGTCTAGGGTAGGGGAGGGAATGGCCGGCAGGGATGTAGCTCAGTTGATAGAGCAAGGGTTGTGGGTTCGATTCCCACGGGGGGCCAGTATAAAAAAAATATGTAATCACTAACTGTAAGTCGCTCTGGATAAGAGCGTCTGCTAAATGACTAAAATGTAAATGTAAAAATGAAGGAGTGGCTTCGTAAGAAGCATTTCAAGGTCCTGGAGTGGCCTAGCCAGTCTCCAGATCTCAACCCCATAGAAAATCTTTGGAGGGAGTTGAAAGTCTGTGTTGCCCAGCGACAGCCCCAAAACATCACTGCTCTAGAGGAGATCTGCATGGAGGAATGGGCCAAAATACCAGCAACAGTGTGTGAAAACCTTGTGAAGACTTACAGAAAACGTTTGACCTGTGTCATTGCCAACAAAGGGTATATAACAAAGTATTGAGAAACTTTTGTTATTGACCAAATACTTATTTTCCACCATAATTTGCAAATAAATTCATAAAAAATCCTACAATGTGATTTTCAGGAATTTTTTTTCTCATTTTGTCTGTCATAGTTGACGTGTACCTACGATGAAAATTACAGGCCTCATCTTTTTAAGTGGGAGAACTTGCACAATTGGTGGCTGACTAAATACTTTTTTTCCCCACTGTATATTATAACACCCCACATTTTTACAATTGCAAAACAGATCATCTTAGTTTCTCCTGAATCAGTTATCATTCATTATACAACAGGTGGGTCTAATGCTGGATACTGATTGGTTAAAACCACATTCCAGCCGGTGTCTATTCCAGAAGTTATCACCGGCTATGAGGTTGAAATGCCTATTTCCTGTTCCATGTCACTGTGCAATCCACTGTCTCATCAGCCCAACCAGGGAATTTATAAACTTGATCTCTGTAGAAAAGCATCTAGACATTATTTCCCCTTTCTTTTAGACTAGCATTTGGTTTTCATCAGTGGAGATTTATATAAACATTGCTGTTTGTCTCTCCGACCTTTACAACATCGTTTCAATATTGAAATTCAATCTCCACTGTCCCATTGAGGATTAACGCGTCAGGACGAGACAGACAGCTTTTCACAGCCAGTCAAAATCATGAATCAGCATAATGTTTATGGATATACAGTATACAAAGAAATGTCAATAGAAAAACAGTTAAAATGAACGAAATGCAGCTAGTTTGCGGTCTTTCCAGATTCAGTTTGAAGAAATTATGTTAGCTGTGTAGTTGGTTAGCTCCTCTGAACAGTGTCCTGATGAGAGAGCACATTTTCATAGGTCCTATGTGGCTCAGTTGGAAGGGCATGGCGCTTGCAACGTCAGGTTGTGGGTTCGATTCCCACGGGGGACCAGCATGAAAAAAATGTATGCACTCTACTGTAAGTCGCTCTGGATAATGTCTATGCCAGGTGAAATCGCACATCATTAGCCCATTGTTATGGATGTAGGCCTATCAAAATAAATGTCACTAGCAAGAGCCGCTAGCAAGCAAGGCATTAGAACTTTGCCAGCCAGCATGGTAACGATACATTTAGAGCGAACGTTCATAGATATAGAACAAAAACACTTCACGACTGGGTCACATCTCTAGCAACCTAACTGATATAATGAACGACCAGGCAGCTTGGGTAACAACCCTAGACTTGTATCGGGAATATATCTCGTGGAAGGATGAAATATGTTTTTATATAAAATATGTTAATTATTATTTGAATATGTTGGAAACCCGTTGTATTAAAGTGATAAGGCCCTCTAAGCCAGTGTTTGGAGGATATATTGGCACGACTTCATCTCGGGCCTAACAACACCCGTGCCAATATATCCTCCAAACACCAGCTTCTCAGGCATTATCACTTAATTGTAAGATTTGTCATTAACATGTATGATCCCTTATAATGTCTTGTTATCATCACATAATAATCTTGACTAGAAAACACCCATTTTGAATCAGTTGAAAGGCTGATAAAGAGATCATATTATAAGACATTAGAAAGGCTCATACATGCTTATAGTATGTTATAAAGTAGGCTTTAAGTAAAGTGTTACCACTGTATCAATGGAATCAACTTATATATTATTACCTCGTCATTGTTATTCTTTATTGTAGCTATCTGATCTCCCATACTATTTGATCTCTCTTATGAAAGTATTGTGTGCATTCTTACTTTTCCGAGCATCAACCATCAGTAACGGTATATTGATTATATGATAAATCAGTTTTGTTATTTTATGTTACTTAGAACTATGGACCCAACATGTTCTTACAATGACACCTGAGTAACACTGAAAACTACTGTGCCATTTTACTACAATATTGAGGTAATAATGTTAACCGATGCTGGTTGCTATACTGTACTCTCCACATAAACTGAATCATACATACAGTACAAATCTAGGAGTTGGGTGGAATTAATAGGTCTCAAACACTACCTTTTGCTCTTTCATTAAAATCAATTAATGTCAAGGAACATCATCTCAGTAACATAACCTTAATCAATGCCATGTGTGATTGTCTAATGCCACATTTGGCATATCATAATCAAGGTGATTGCTTACTTTCACTGACCAGTTATAACTTGTGCAACCAGTTATAACGTATCAACAATTAAAATCTGTATTTCTATTTTAGTAGTTTACTTTCTAAAATGAATGATGTGATAACAAAACAAAGACTTTACGTGAAAAAGTAGACCATTTTTTATTTCTGGCTTTGAAGCTAAGCCTGGAGGTGAGAAGAGCACGTACAATACATCTATTTCTTTCCTATAATAATATCGGCTGGCTGGTGGGATGTGTTTTCATGAAAAACACCATTGTTTGTAGGATTAAAGCCTACAAAGCCAGATTGGAATGCCCAATCTATGGATGACCATTATATAGCTTATATTGGGACTAGAGCTAATAAGGGATTTCTATCTGGCAATTTCTAATCTTTCCATTAAATTATCCAGCTTCAAAGGAATGCAATGTAGTATCATGTTTGATTAATAAAAAGATTGGTAACAATATGCTTAAAGCCAGCAAGTATGATGCATTTTGATGTGGTTATCATGTATTGTTAGAGCAAGAGTTGTTATCCGCATGTACAGTATGACCCATTATAATCAGTGCTTGACTTGGGCCGGAGCTCACCGGAGTTGAGTACCGGCACCTCAAATGTTTTACTGCTTGAGTTCCTTCAACTCTTATAGAAAGTCAAGCACTGATTATGTCTTATTACCATCTCATAATACTAAATAACAGCGACATAATGTATTATAAGTCTTATAATAAGACATCATAAAGGCTTGTACATGCTCATAACAAGTGATGAAGCATTACACCAATCTATTTTATTCCATGGAGAGGAAATACGTTCTAGGCTATTTAAGCTGGACGGGAATGAGTCATTCTACCTGCAGACTTAAGTAAAGTGTTACCAAATGATCTATTTCAGTCCATGGAGATGAAATATGTTCTAGGCTATTTTAGCTGGAGAGGAATTCATCATTTATCTAATAATATCAAATATTAATATCTAATTTCTAATAATATATTTTTTGCCTCAGTCTGACAATAGGCTTGAAATGTAATAACTGTAACAACTGCTTATCATTTAAAGCTTAACATTTTCACAACATTGGACAACAAAGGAGCCGTGGGTATAGCATGTCTACTACAAACAGCCCATCCTAAACTAGAGTGTGAACATAAAATACATCCCAATGTAACAACAAACACATCACTCCACTCCACGTTAACCCCTGACTAAAATGTAACTTACACACATGCACACACACACACACATGCAGACACACACAAACATACAAACACAATAAAGAGAAGTCCAAGTCCATTGACATGAACTGTCAGAAAACCACAAGGATAGTTTGTGTGTGTGTGATTATCGCATGCTTAGTTCATTTGGACTTGTTTTCAATTTTAGGCACTTCAATCTTTTCCCCAGTGAGGAATTGCCAGATGCCTCCTCTGTAGTTCTCATTGCCCAGGGCGTACAGGAAAACGTTGAACGTGGGAGAGGTCTTTGCCAGAATAGGAGCCAGCTACAAACACAAAGACAAACAGAGCAATGTAAATGTCTCAGTACTAGCAAGTTCAAAAAGGTGGTACATTTGTGTCAAAGTACGGTACAGCAAGTTTTATAAAATACAGATACAGTTGAAGTCGGAAGTTTACATACACCTTAGCCAAATACATTGAAACTCAGTTTTTCACAATTCCTGACATTTAATCCTAGTAAAAATTCCCTGTCTTAGGTCAGTTAGGATCACCACTTTATTTTAAGAACGTGAAATGTCAGAATAATAGTAGTAATTTATTTCAGCTTTTATTTCTTTCACCACATTCCCAGTGGGTCAGAGGTTTACATGCACTCAATTAGTATTTGGTAGCATTGCCTTTAAATTGTTTAACTTGGGTCAAACGTTTCGGGTAGCCTTCCACAAGCTTCCCACAATAAATTGGGTGAATTTTGGCCCATTCCTCCTGACAGAGTTGGTGTAACTGAGTCAGGTTTGTAGGCCTCCTTGCTCGCACACGCTTTTTCAGTTCTGCCCACAGATGTTCTATAGGATTGAGGTCAGGGCTTTGTGATGGCCACTCCAATACCTTGACTTTGTTGTCCTTAAGCCATTTTGCCACAACTTTGGAAGTATGATTGGGGTCATTGTCCATTTGAAAGACCAATTTGCGACCCAGCTTTAACTTTCTCACTGATGTCTTGACATGTTGCTTCAATATATCCACATACTTTTCCTTCCTCATGATGCCATCTATTTTGTGAAGTGCACCAGTCCCTCCTGCAGCAAAACACCCCCAAAGCATGATGCTGCCACCCCCGTGCTTCACGGTTGGGATGGTATTCTTCGGCTTGCAAGCTACCCCCTTTTTCCTCCAAACATAACAATGGTCATTATGGCCAAACAGTTCTATTTTTGTTTCATCAGACTAGAGGACATTTCTCCAAAAAGGACGATCTGTCACGGTTTCGGCCGAGGCTGCTCCTCCTCCTGGTTCGGGCAGGCTTCGGCGTTCGTCGTCCCCGGAATACTAGCTGCCACCGTTGTATGTTTCGTGTGTTGATTGCTTTGGTCTGTCTGGTACACCTGTGTCTGTTTGTGTCCTAATTACGTGTCCTATAAGTTCCCTGTTTTGTGTTAGTTAGATTGTGTGTTGTTGTTCGCCTGTCGGCTGTGGCGTGGTTGAAAAATGAGTTTTAATGACTCCAACCTAAGTGTATGTAAACTTCCGACTTAAACTGTATACATAGACTCAGTTGGTTGGAGTATGAAATTTGGCACACCAGTGTTGTGAGCTTGACTCCTGCATGTGCCATTACACTACACAAGTATGTGTTAAATGTACATTGCTTTGGGGACCAAAGGACCATTAGTTATATCATCAAGCAGTGCGATTAATGGCTACTATATTACACAGAAACCCTAAGTATTGTATTTGTGTATTTGGTAAATGGTGTAAAAGATCTTTGGCAAACACAAAGTAATATGACCTTGAGAAATCTATATGATGTCTACTGTTAGATTAGATGCAGTGTGTGTGTGTGTGTGTGTGTGTGTGTGTGTGCACGCATGTGTGTGTGTGAACATGTGTGTGTGTGTGCATGTCTGTGTATGCGCATGTGTGTGTTGTCCTCACCATCCTTATCTTGGGAGAGACCAGGTTGGCATTCTTAACAGCAGCGTAAAAGGTCAGGACTCCATAGGGTCCCCAGCAGAACAAAAATGTCTTCAGGGGAGTGGCAGTGTTGAACTGTAGAGAGAGGGACAGTATTATGACTTATTTCCATCCCCATTGATTGAATATGTTCCTCTATGTTTGCTTTGGTAATGTATGAGGTTACACTCGCCATTCAAATAAAGCCATCTGAATTAAATTAAATTGAAAGAGAGATGGTGAGAGAGAGAGAGAGAGAGAGAGGGTGAGAGAGAGAGAGAGGGTGAGAGACAGAGAGAGAGGGTGAGGGTGAGAGAGAGAGAGAGGGTGAGGTTGAGGGTGAGGGTGAGGGTGAGAGAGAGAGAGAGAGAGAGAGAGAAGGGATTGTTACTGTTCGACCATGAATAGTGGAAAAACGTCTCGGGTCATGGGGCTTACATGCATGTGACGGCCTTGTCACAAGCCTGGGATAACGGTTGGGACAAAAACACAATATCTGGCTTACCATCATTTCATAATCAACTAAACTCAGACAATGCACCAAAACAGGCACACAGTAAAACATTGTTCACTGACCATTCATAGTAATCCCATGTTTTATACTCATAATACACTATACTTAGGGATAACAGTTTTGTTTGAGTATGTGTTATTTTTGAGTACACATGACACAAAGACTGCAAATGCCACTTACCATGTATACAACCTTTGTATCCATACAGGAATGTTAATGAAGTAGTTGTTTACAGTTTTGTAGACATTCCTAGCAGAAACCCAACACTGGGGCATCTGAGAGGAGAGGGGGCTTTGCTTTCTGTGTTTTGTGTTTCCAAAGTAATAATGATGCATTTGAGGTATTGGACACTCTTTGAAAGTGCGGCCGTGTGTGTGTGTGCATGAGAGAGAGCAAGAGAGAGAGAGAGACAAAGAGAGAACATATATGTTTTCCCCTTTCTGTAATCACTATTACTGTTATTGTTGATGTCATTATCTCACTTCGCTTTAGCAACAGTGGTCTTATCATTCATGCTAATAAAGCTTATCTCAGAGAGAGAGATAGAGAGAGAGAGAGTATTTCTGTCTGTGTGATGCTATTTGAAGGTTAGATAACAGTAACAGTGCTGCCTTAGTGAAAGGAGCTCATTGTTTCCAGCAGCATAGACGCCTTTGTGCTCCGGCTAGCACAGCGTAAGCCCTAGCTACACAACCGCGAGTAATTGGCTTATGCAACATATAGAGGGAGAGGCAACCTGATTCAGTCCCTCCAGTCACGTGGGACCTAGGGATGTTACGGTGACCGTATTACCACTACACCGGCAGTCACGAGTCATGATAGAGAGAGAGAGAGTATGTCTTGACTGTGTAATGATCACAGTCAAATTCCACGTGACCGTTTAGTCAAGCTCTGATGTTGCTGATGGTCATTAGTAGCCTACCAAACTTGCTAACTTCCTGGTACTCAGCACTCTAGTCCCTCTAAATCACTCTGACATCAATGCAAAGTTGTCAAAAATCAATCATTTGCGCTTATAGACTACTGCCGTGTGTGCATTGCTGCGCTTATAATGTGAAGAAATAGCATAATAGTTGATCAACATTTTAAGCTAAACGTTCTGATCTGTTGCATCAGCCTCATTGCGCAAAACATTTTTTTGATGCGAGTGGTTGTATTAATTTGGGATCTATCGCATCCCACAACTGACCCAGAGTATGTTTGGAACATTTATTTCTCGCACAGAAGGTCAAGTTGACCAATAGAATAGGTCAACTTTTGTACAATGGGGGATAGTAGATTGACATAGGCTAGTGCATTTGCTGTTTGTTAGGCCTATTCATCTTGTTGGCTGAAAAAAAGTACATGTGGACAATTTTTCTAACATCTTCAATATGTGCCTCAGAATTCAATAAGAAGGACCCACGCAGTCCCTGATGTGTCTGTCTTCACTTGTAGCCTACTTCGGAGCTGAGAGGCCTGTGAGAAGGACCCGATCACGTGACGGGCATTGGCTAATAAGAATTGAGATATCTGAGAGAGCCACCTGAGTGAGAAGTGCTTCGGAGCACGGTGATTGGCAGCTGGGAGAAGGGAATTATAATTATTATATTCAGCCCAAGGGCACAACAGCCACTTTGGCCGCAAAGGCATGGATGTTTTTAGGGGGCATTACGGCTACACAAGGTGGATGCTGCCGGGAAATTCGAGGCCTGGTTAGAATATTATCAAGTGCTTATCAAATTGTGAATGAGAGACTGATGAAGTGTGTGCAGCCTGCACAAGAAACAAAGCAGAGCTCATACCTTTCATGCAACTTTTTTCAAAACATCATTAGAGTTGCATCATGCAGCCTTAGAATGTTTTAAAAATCTAAACATATAGCCCAACATTTGTATCACAACTAACGTTGCATAAATAACTCTAAATTAAGCATATAGGAGGACCTGTTTTTTTGTTAACTGCTCAACACAGAATAGGCGCGTGTGCGCACTCCCTCGGAAATCGTTTGTAGAAAATATCATTTTTATTTTATTCAGCTATTTTCAATTGTATTCTTCATACTATAAAAAAATGCCACGGAATTCTAAGCAAATCTTGTCTGCTAAATGAACTAGTGTAGCCCACAGCCATATGGCATAGCCAGATCAGGGCCTAACATAAGGACAACTCAGAGTATGCTATTCTGTTCTTCTGAAATATACCACATTTTATTCATATCATGTTTCTTTACATTTACATTTACATCATTTAGCAGACGCTCTTATCCAGAGCGACTTACATGAGCAATTAGGGTTAAGTGCCTTGCTCTAGGGCACATCGGCTGATTTTTCACCTAGTCGGCTCGGGGATTAGAACCAGCTACCTTTCGATTAAAGGCACAACGCTCTTAACCACTAAGCTACTAAGCTACCTGCCGCCCTTTAGACCTGTCTAAATTAACTAATGGATATACTGTGATGGTGTAGGCTATATTAAATTGATTTATTAGACTTCTTAAAATATAGATGTTCCAAATGTCTGCATTAGTGGCTTGTAGGATATGCCGAGGAAGCCAGAAGATGCTAAACGTGTTTATGTTAATTAACGGTCAATTACCGTGAGACCGGCAGTTATTTGCTTGACAATCACTGGCTGACATTTATTGACCGCCACAGCCCTAGTGGGACCTACAGTATACTCTTACTAGTCTACTGTGTCTGTTCAACAGTACAGTTTCCTTTAAGGTACAGTGGCTGCATTCCAAACCATGGGGCCTTGATGGTCTACACCTTGTAGGACTGAAAAGACTAAATAGATGAACATTAGCACTATAGGGATTGTTTCTCCTCCCTAGTCCTCAAATAAGCAGTGGTCAGTCATAGAAAGATAGGGGGAACATTTTGGGTTTGGAACTGAGTGCATTCTTTTGAAATGCAGCCATCTTTGAAGGTATCACTGATTTGACATTACTGGTTCTGTGAAATCTGGAAATATAATCTATGAATCACTTGCATTCCCCTATCAAGTCATGTTAGATCAGGGATTCCTTCAAGGTAGCAAGGAGGGAAGGGTGCATGTTGACAGTATTGGAACAGGGCCATGTATGACAATAATAGTGGACATTATTCTTACCCTGGGGTTTCCGGTCTTCTTGAATTTCTGGCCGATGGACTTGTAGGAGGACATGACAACAAAAGTCTGGACGGCCATGTTGAAAATGGCCATGGGGATCAAGTAGGACACATAGTTCCTGTTCAAGAAAAGAAAGAACACAGGATGTTATGAAACAAGTGCATCTGGGGAGCCAATATGGATGTTTTACACTACAGAAAGTGTTACCTGTCTCCCTTGTTGTAGGCCAGGTTTTTTGTGTATTTTTGTGTGCATTTGAGTGTGTGTGTGTGTGTGTGTCTGCCCATCGGTCTGTCTTTTTGCCATGTGTGAAGATGTGTGTGTGTGTGTTATCTGTCTCCCTTGCTGTAGTCCATGTGTGTGCGCATGTGAATGTGCATGCGTGTGCAGGTATGTGAGTGTGTTCGTTACCTGTCTCCTTTGCTGTAGTCCAGGGTACAGCAGGTTCTGAGGGGTTCGTAGTCATACTCTCCCCAGCCGATGAGGGGCATGGCGGACCAGAAGGCGGTGAACAGCCAGATGAAGATAGTCAGAGTGATGGCACTGCTCCACTGTAGCTTTGTCCCTGATGAGAAGCACAACCATAGAAATACAATGATTAGAATATATTATAATAATAATAATATGCCATTTAGCAGACGCTTTTATCCAAAGCGACTTACAGTCATGCGTGCATACATATTTTTTTTTTTTTGTGTATGGGTGGTCCCGGGGATCGAACCCACTACCTTGGCGTTACAAGCGCCGTGCTCTACCAGCTGAGCTACAGAGGACCACATATCAATAATTTTTATTTCCCATTGGAATGGAGAGGGAGAGTAAAGGTGTGTGCTGTACTCTTAGAAATCAAATCGGATTATTATATTTCTATGAGCACAACACACACTGTTACTCTCCACCATTTCAATGTAAAATGAAATATCCCCTCAGCCCCATTGCTTTCCAGGGCCAGACAGATATACAACACATTCATAAAATTAACAAATTCGAATAACGTTTGTGTCATGTCACATTTTAAATGTATTTAGGAACTAAACATGTACTTAAAACTAGCTGTGAACGCACAATAAAATGTGTTATTGTGTAATTATTGTATTATTGTGTTTTTAACATATACATTTTTGGTAGGGCAGGACCAGAGGGAATCTGTGAGAAAGTGTTCATATTAAAACATTTAAGGGTTGTCTTCATATTTCCTCAATTGTAGCAGTATTTTGTTTTATTGATTGTAATGCCACATATTTTATGGTTTCAAATCACAGATTCCATCTGCGACATACCCAAAGAATGAGAAGAGATAAGGGGAGTAATATAATCCATTTCATGTTGTTATGTTGATCCTTGTCTTGAAGTAGGCCTAAGCTCAACATGGTTAATGTTGGTTTACTATTTGGTTGAAATACTACAAAACAAAATGCTTCCCATTGGCCAGTTGTTGGCCATGTTCAGGGCCTAATTAATGCAGGTGCTTACCGGGGCTGAAAGTAAAACAAATATAATAATAATGGAAATATATACACCATATATTATATATACACAGTATATATATATGTAGTGTATATATATATATATATATATATATTTTTTTTACTGCAACTGCCAACCACAGGACTCAGGAGCCTGCTCTCAAAGAGTGTAGACAGCCAGCTGCAGCCTGCTGCCGCTTTGCTAATCATCAGATGAGGGAGGAGAGGAGGTAGGGGGCCCACGTGGGTAATTGGGGGGCCCTGCCTTGATTGGGTAACTGATTAATAAAAAAGTAAAAATAAACTGCATAATAAATAAATGCAACTGGTCAATTGTGTAAGTTGTTAACTCAAAATGACAAAACGACTAGGTTCCAGTTTAACTATGTTTACTTCACCATATTTCCACAATACATAGTTGCCATTGCATTCAGGCCAGGTCCATCTACCCTGAGACTACGGCGCAGGGGTACTAATAACAGAGTGATAGCACCGTAATAACAGAAATATAGGGATACTTAAAATATGACCTTAATCTCCCACTTTTCTTTAAAGACAATCAAAAAATAATGAAATGTCCCCAGTATTATTTAAATTACCCATTACAAATGGGTTGTGTGACAAAGTTTTTATTTTGTATTAATCAAGCTGCCACTTTCCATTACTGGGTGCCTTTAGGAGCACAAGACCGGATGCTGCCTTTTTAGTCAGACTGTTCTTTTTAGCAAGCTGTTCCTTTGTGGCCGACCACAGAATCCGCCGGATTCTCTGTGCTTGAATAACTTCCTTGATGCTGCTAATCTCAAGACAAAGTATTTTCTCTGTGACAGACTTGGTTGACTTAACAGCATCAACTAAGGAGTAGTTGTCAGTGACACAAACTACAGGTAGAATGTGTTGTTTTGTCAGAAAGATGGCTTTGTCAATTCCATCCGCAAGAGCAAGGGATTCTCCAGCAAGTGTGCTTTGGACAACCCTTCTGATCCTTTTTGACTGCCAACAGATAAGCGAGAATCTTCCTTCTTCACCCATTAACACGTGTAGCTCAGTTGGTAGAGCATGGTGCTTTCAATGCCAGGGTTGTGGGTTTGATTCCCACGGGGGGCCAGTATGAAAATGTATGTACTCACTAACTGTAAGTCGCTCTGAATAAGAACGTCTGCTAAATGACTCAAATGTAAATGTAAAATGATTAGATGTCCACCTTGTGTGCCTCCTTCTGTAAGGTTCCCTAGGGAAGCATCACTGAAGACAACTAGTTTCAGAGAGTCATCTTTTCCAACATGCTAAAACTTTAGAGTCACTTGTTGTGATTTCAGTTTACGAACAACTTTGTTTGCCTCATGAATGGTTTGTACAGTGGCGTGTTTTGTGTTGGATACCAAGTTGCAACCATCAAACATTACATCAGGTCTACTCTGTCTATCAACCCATATAATTTGACCTAATTTTGACCTCAATTGATCAGCTTCAATTCCGCAGAGAGGGGAATTCCTTTGTACGGCTCTTGAAGAATCCATGTGGATGGGTTGAAGATTATTGATATAGCTTTCCTGTTGTGTCAGTATTGTTCTGTCAACTGTAATAAACTCTATGCCAACATAGCAAAAACTATCATGCTCCTCACGGCCGACTTGGAAAACAGCTTTGAGGTGTGGAATCACAGTTGTAGCAAAGGACTGTGAGCCACCCCAGATGAAGTCATCAACATGACAGGCAAGTACTCGTCACATTGCAGTCTTGATCAAGCCAATAGAAGACTGCAGGATCCACTTGTGACATTTTTCCACCTGTACTCAGCATTGTTGCCTTGACTTTGTTGTACCAGTAGAGTGATGCATCTGCCAGGCCATACACACACTTTTTTAGTTTCTACAGTGTTCCTTCGCTCTTAGCTTCAGGCGGAGGTCGGATGTGAATGTCCCTTGACAGCTTTGTTCCCTGCAAAAATGCAGATTTGATGTCTATGGAATGAAGTTTCCATTTTTTCTGGCAGATCACTGTCAGCAGCAATCTGAGTGACTCCGAGGTGCATGCCGATGAGTCTTTTGGGAGTTCTTTAGCAGCCAGCTCCTCAAAACCTGCTTTTAGACATGCTTTTGGCACTATTCCAGTTAAGGATTCTTTAAGGGTACACACCCACCTTGTTGAGACACATTTTTGGCCAATGTCTTTGACTTCCTCAAACACGTCCTTTTTACTCCAATTACTGGTACTGAGCTCATCTAGTTTAGCTGAGTCAAATGACACGTCCTTTGTTTCAAGTACATCATCATTTTGAATGTCATTCTGTTTTTCCATTGGTTCAATTCTGAGATTATCTACAAGTGACAGGTCAGCTGACCCGGATGTACCATAAAGTGTAGCTGGTTCAGAGTACTGCAAGTTGTACCAGTTCTGGTGTTTTCCTTTGGCTTTTCCTGCTCGTCCAATGCCGATTGCTGTGTGTGGAATACCACGATCTCTGTCCATGTATTTAACAGTTTGCCTAGTTTTCAGATTTGGAACAACCATGTTGTCTTAACACATGTGGCTGTTGTTGAACGTTTTCCTCATTTGGACCATCACAAGTATTACCTGTGTCATGGTTGAAGGTCTCTGCTCCATTTCCTGTGTCAGTTTCAGTGTCCATATCATTGGATGCGACATCTGGTAGGTTTGTGTCAATGTATCCTTTTTGTCATTATCAGTAGGAGGCTGATTCTCAGCAACAGCCCCTCCATCTTGTTGATCATTTACTTTCCGCCATCTTGAATGATGCACCCTGACAAATATCACCATACCATCTTGGCCAATGACTACTCCCGGTCCTTTCCACTCTTGACAGTCAACTCGTTTGTAGTCCACTTTGTTTCCAGTCTCGTACTTCTCATCGGTGGGTAGAAGCTGTTTACACAGAGCCCTGTGAATTCTCTCTGAACACTCTGCTTCAGTGAACACTTTTATTGCTGCATGTAGTGCTGAAAGGTGCTGTTCCACCCATGCACACTGGTCCCTTCTAGTGCTGGTGGCTTGTCAACCAGTAGAGGGAAGATTAGGGTTCTGCCCAAACACTAGTTGATATGGTCTGTAGCCATGAACATTATGCATTTAGTTTTTTTGCCATCAAAGCCCAATCTAGGGCTGTTTTCCAGTCACATCCATTGTATTGCTTCACTTTCAGCATGATCTCTGTGAGTGTTTGATTATGTCTCTCCAGAAGTCCATTGCTCCATGGACTGTTTGTAGCAGTTGTCTTTACCTCCATGTTGAATTTCTCAGCCATTTCTCTTATTTCATTATTATTTAATTATCCTCCTGGGTTTCTTTGTATTCACAATGCTTCAAGCACTGAAGCGTGTGAAGTGGTTGATTATGTGAAGAAGGTACCACACACTTGGTCCTAGCTCATGTAGATGTACAGCCACTTTCATTGTACTTAGAAGCCAGTGTCAAACCAACAGCTGGTCTGGGCTTAGGTTTGCTGTATTTCTGGCATGCCTCACAACTGTTAACTATCTGCCGTAGAATGGAAATACTCTCATCATCATTATTACAAGAAGTGAAGTTTTAACAATACTTTGTGTTTTTCCTCTGTGTTCATGTTCTCTGTGACTGTCAGAATCTCCATGTGCTCTGTGTTCGTCAGAATCTAATTTCTACATGGAATCTGTGTGATGTCTTTGTCTAAAATGTTTACACAATAGTGGACTGAGTCTTGCTAGCTAGCCTGCCTACTGAAAATTGTGGGAAAAAGTGAGAGTGGAGCCCAGAAAATAAAATTACTGAAAAATAAAACAACAGCAGAAGCAAGGAATTAACTAACTGGTTATTTTTCTGCGCAACACAAAGACACAAAGGACAACGACAACCAAAGGCCTGCAATCAAGCATACGAGAGATCAACCCCATTGGCAGAGTGGCTGCCTTGCACTGCACATACTCTGAATTTGGCAGATTATTATATCAGGTTTACAACCAAATGAAAACAGTTGAATTGAAACCCTCAAATCTCTTTCTGTTACAAGGTGGTCTGCCCATGCACAAGCCACAAAAGCATTATGCCTCAGAAGTATCTGAGGACAAAAATCTAACTCTGGCCACGCATAATGAGGCTCTAGCACTCTATACCCAAATGGATAAACTTGAGATTGCTTTTCTCTGTAACTTGTGGAACACAATACTCCAACATTTTCAGAATACAAGCACTGCACTTCAGGCAGTCGAACTGGAGCTGACTAACACTGTTTGTTTGGTGGCCTCCTAAAGAGATTTTGTGGCTGGGTTCCGGGATCAGTTTGATAGCTTTGAGGCAAAAGGAAAGAACATGTCCCCAAGCGTTTTAACACTTTACAAACCTGACACGCAAGAAGAAGAAAAAAACATGCTAACGAGTCATCAGAGGCAGAGCCTGACTGTTGTTTATCAATGACAGGTCAGCAGATATTTCCTGTCGGTGTGTTCACTGTTGTAATTGAAACACTTATTGCCGAGTTGGATAGGAAGTATGACTCATACAATGAGCTAAACAACTGATTTTGATTTTTAAACAATATGCCTTCACTTTCCTCACAAGACCTACATCAATCTGACTTGCAACATGTGGATCTGCCAGGGCATTGCTTCACATGTTGAGACAGAGGAATCTACAAGCAGTCTTTCCCAATATTCTTAACTTTACCTGTTACCAATGCATCAGGGGAGCCGTCCATTTCAGAGTTGGATCTTGTCAAAAACAGACTGAGATCAACGATAAATTAATGCACTGCATAAGGCCTAATACTCGTCCGCTGGAGACTGGAAAGGCTCTGTCCAGCCAGCTGGTGGTGCTGAAATGCCAGAGGCCACACAGGCCTGCGCTCTTGTTTTCTTTGCGAAGGCTGTGCGGATGGTAACTGTGCGTGGTCCTCCTGAATCAATAGTGTGAGTGTTCTGTGTAGACTAGGTCATGCAACTGTTTTGTTTTTTGTTTTTTTAGGGGGTAGATCAGCTTTAATATTTCAGATAGATTGTAACTTCCATCAATGTAATTGTCTGCATCACTTCCAATCCCCCATATGTTATTTTTCTTCATCGTCCCTTTGATGCGGTGAAGTTGTCCTGTCCCCTTAGCAGAAAAACACCCCCAAAGCATAATGTTTCCACCTCCATGTTTGACGTTGGGGATGGTGTTCTTGGGGTCATAGGCAGCATTCCTCCTCCTCCAAACACGGCGAGTTGAGTTGATGCCAAAGAGCTTGATTTTGGTCTCATCTGACCACAACACTTTCACCCAGTTCTCCTCTGAATCATTCAATGTTCATTGGCAAACTTCAGACGGGCCTGTATATGTGCTTTCTTGAGCAGGGGGACCTTGCGGGCGCTGCAGGATTTCAGTCCTTCACGGCGTACTGTGTTACCAACTGTTTTCTTGGTGACTATGGTCCCAGCTGCCTTAAGATCATTGACAAGATCCTCCCGTGTAGTTCTGGGCTGATTCCTCACCGTTTTCATGATCATTGCAACTCCACGAGGTGAGAACTTGCATGGAGCCCCAGGCCGAGGGAGATTGACAGTTCTTTTGAGTTTCTTCCATTTGTGAATAATCTCACCAACTGTTGTCACCTTCTCACCAAGCTGCTTGGCGATGGTCTTGTAGCCCATTCCAGCCTTGTGTAGGTCTACAATCTTGTCCCTGACATCCTTGGAGAGCTCTTTGGTCTTGGCCATGGTGGAGAGTTTGGAATCTGATTGATTGATTGCTTCTGTGGACAGGTGTCTTTTATACAGGTAACAAACTGAGATTAGGAGCACTCTCTTTAAGAGTGTGCTCCTAATCTCAGCTCATTACCTGTATAAAAGACACATGGGAGCCAGAAATCTTTCTAATTGAGAGGGGGTCAAATACTTATTTCCCTCATTAAAATGCAAATCAATTTTATAACATTTTTGACATGCGTTTTCCTGGATTTTGTTGTTGTTATTCTGTCTCTCACTGTTCAAATAAACCTACCATTAAAATTATAGACTGATCATTTCTTTGTCAGTGGGCAAACGTACAAAATCAGCAGGGGATCAAATACTTTTTTTCCTTCACTGTAACTCCACCAGTCCTACCGATAATATCATTCACAAAGATTATACCTTTTTTAAACATTTTGTCAAAAAGAAGAAGGTTTTTTATCTATTAGTATTAGTATTAGTATAGTATATCAATTAGCGCCTACTCCAAACTAGACGCGCTCAGCCATGCATCTTTTTGTAAACAGTGATTGAGTTATATTATTCACCTAAATTAGTACTATCCAATCTACTCATTACATTACGAAGAGTAGGCAATAAAAAACACAAAGCCCCAAGGCCTATTATTTCTTAATCTGGCCCTGGCCACATACTGTAACTCTCTTTAATAGAAGCCTGGTTACTTCTGGTCGTTGTGGAACTGTATCTCTCTTATTGCTCTCTGATATATAGTTTGACAGGGTCATGACACACAATAGAAAGTGTGTCAGTGTTAGTGTAATCTGCAGATTATGAATTCGTGATAAGTCATTAAAAGCATGCAGATGAGTGACATCCTAACAGATTAATAGACTCTTAGGCTGAAGGCCAGATGGCCTCTTAGGATGATGTGAGGCCACAAGAACAGCTGCACCCAAAGACTAGTCCTATCTAGTGTGTGTTTGTTTGTGCATTTGTTGTTGGGGATGGATGTGTGAGTATGTGTGTCTGTGGAGATGTATGAGACCTAAGAGACTCATGCCACTTACTTGTGCAGTACTGGTGGTATCTGTCCCATGCGATTGCAGCAATGAAGTGGATGCTGGCGAGAGCTGTCACGAAACCCTGGAAACCATGAGTCTGGCAGCCATCAGAGCCATAGGGCCAGTACCTGGAGAAGGACAGAGTAAAGAGGGGGAAAGACAATACATTAGGCCTTAACATAGCCTATTTCTTCAGCTGGTTGTGAATGCTATTTATAATGCTCAACAACCAATGATTAGACTGGTAGAGCATAGAACTAGACGGTAGGGAAGGTCACTGTCTGTTTATGATCTTTTACATTGACCAAGGTCATCTATTAATAACCATTTTGAATTTGAAGTGAATCCGGTGGCTGTTTTCATCCTAAATCACCTAGACGCCAACGTCATCGTTCATCCCCCTGATTACAGAGTTCTAAATCCTCCGCCTTTACACAGCACAGTCCCCGGGAGGTCTGTTACATGTATGCCCTAAACCCGTTGGTCTTTGCCCCGGCCTTATTGATCTACTACTCTAACACTACGCAGAAATATTGATGAGCTAATTGATTGGAATATGTCTGAGAGAGAGCGAGAGACATTCTCCTTTGCGTTGCTCCACTATAGACTATTGCAGGAATAGTACAGAACAGGGATCATCAACTAGATTCAGCCGCGGGCCAATTTTTTCTTGAGCTGGTGTGTTCGGGGGGCCGGAACATAATTACAAATAATTTGTAGACTGCAAATTGACCGCAAGAAGCCCAAACAGATATAATGTTTGACTAAAACATAATCATTTCAAACCTTGCTTACATTTGTATATGATCACGTCTCTCTATTATGCGTGGGAATACTTGGAAAAATATTTATTCATTAAAAATATGATTTCCTGGTGTTTTTACAGTCTATTATGTCCAACAATTAATAAAAAATGTTTGCTCTGAAAACTTGGGGGGCAAAATAAAACCACTTGCGGGCCATATACAGCCCGCGGGCCGCAAGTTGGAGAACCCTGGTTTAGAATATTCCATATTCCATTCAATTCATGGTATTTCACAGTGGAAAAACGTTGCAACAATGAGTCAGTGTGAGTAGAAAGTAAATTAGGTGATGGAAAGGATTAGTAGGTTATGCTACGTCACTCACCTCAGAAAGCTGGAGAAAGCGGCAATTGTTGCATTCGCGGAGATGCCCATATCGGCCAATGCCAAGCTAAAGACTAGGAAATTGCTGGGGGTTCTCAGTTCTCTTATTTTGATGAAAGCAGCGACTGTCACAGCATTCAGGAAGAATCCCAGAAGACCTTTAGGGAACATAACACAGAATAGGCTATAAACAAAGTAGCAGTGCGCATAGCGAAGTAAATCAATTCCAAAATGACTTCATCCAGGGAGTTGAGCGCAGACTTTTAATACTTAAACCCTTACCGTAAACGTATGTAGCTCAATTGGTAGAGCATGGCGCTTGTAACGCAAGGGTAGTGGGTTCGATCCCCGGGACCACCCATACGTAAAAATGTATGCGCTTTGGATAAATGCGTCTGCTAAATGGCATATTATTATTATATTATGTTTGTCCTCTGTTGTTGCGTGCCTTTGTTTGCTGAAATCCATACTTTTTAACGTTAATCAAATACAACCACCGACTGTTTCCTTGTTGAGATTCAATTGGCACATGCTCATTTGTGCTGAGTTGCCATCTTAGAGCAACAGCAATGAGGAAAGTCAGTAGTTGTATTTGTGACCGACCGGCTCAATTCTGTCTTATGTAGCAACATTCGAAATTGGATAAAGGTAGAGACCAATGGTCCCTCTAAAGGTTTTTTTTTTTTTTACAGTGAACACTGAGGCTGTACCCTTACAGTTGTAGACAGTAGCCAATAGGCTATTGTGGCTATTTGAGTATAATGTAGGCCTACAAACAAAACCAATGGAGCAAATCCCAAAACATTTTCACATGGAAATAGTTTTTGATTTCTATGAGATAGCCTACAGTAGCCTATATGTGGTGTTCAATGCATGCCTACATTGCATGATACTTTTAAAAAAGTTTTTACATAATGAAGGGCTTGACATGAATTCATGATTTTTTACTTGGTCTTTAACGCCATGGACAAAATAGGTGACTGTAAATTGCATTGTGCTATATGATGCAAGAAACCACTTTCAAAATAAAAGTAATTATTATTACCATACAGAGAATCAGGCAATGTAGGCTACCCCTCTGCCTATTGGCTTATTTGCAAATTCAAGCCTGTCTCAAAATACAACACTGCCCCTTTAATTAAGACAAACCTTTTTATCTGACTGGCTTTTCAAAGAGCTTGAAATGTAGCCTACACATTTTGTGCTCTTGTAGGAAGCAGTAACTCCCCATTGCTGACCTATACTTATCTATAACTGGGCTAATAACTTGCTAACTAGCAAAGAATATCAACAAATGTGCACACGTGTGGCTCTGCGCTCTGAACTGATCTGAAAAGCGCATTCACTCCTGGGTGATTGAAAGACCGCTCATGGGCTCTGTTGCGCTCTAGCTCTGCCTACAACAAAATCAAAGACTCAATCTCACAAAGTTAGATTTGTTTTGGTTTGTTGCATTGAAAAGGGTCTGATATAATGTTGATTAGATCACAGAAAAAACATTGATCTATATAGTGCAAACTAATGGAGCGAACTCAGTGAAGTTCAATCTCTTGCTTCTCTGCACGGCCTGGCATTTCTTCTGCGAGGCAGTCCTGGATGAGGTGCGGGGCCGTGCACGTATCAGCTTAGTGGCAACATTGGTAGGGACTCAGAGCTAGAAAATGTTATATCATACACTAGAGGTGAGGAACAATGGGAAAGTAATTCTGCTTTGAAAGTTGATACACTTTTGAGAAAATGGCCCTTGAATGTTTTGGTACACATACTGGAGAGCTCTTCTTTGTCTACACCCATTCAACATCGTTCACAACCTCTTAAGTCTTAGCCCCACCCATCTCTTTAAGGATTCACATGAGGCCATGTGCTAAACAGAGTGAGTACGGTAGTGTACTAAAAAACCAAAGATTTCAAGACGAAAGGCTGGTTTATACTACGTCTATTGACATGTCTGTAGACAGTTGTCGCAATGACATCATTAACATTATATTGTCGTACGACATTAAACTTGTCATTGTCGTTATGAAAAAGTATAAACACAAAAACTACAGGCTATATGACATCAGCAGCCTGGTGGTCCAAAATAGCATAACTGGTGTACTTTAACACCAATAAACTCATCCGTTTAAAAATGAATTTAGTATATGTCAATCTAGCAAACCAGGCAACTAAAAGCAACTTTCTAAGCAATATTTTCGTTAGTTTCTAGCTTGATAGCTAGCTAGCTAACGTTAAATTAGCTGGCTAGCCAGTTCAAATAATGATCATATCATATAGCTGACATCTCAACTTTAGCTAATTTGTATTCATTATTACAGGAAAGTAAACTCACAACAAGATCATTATTTACAAATGAATGGCGAGCTAATTACAGAAAATAGCTTACGGTTGTGAGTGTGACAAAATAAAATAAAAATGAGAAACGTATAATATCTGAAAATGTAGCTAGCTAGACTCTCTTACCCGTATACATGGATGAATGCTTCTCCCTCTCTGTCACGGATGCCATGTTTGCCCTTAGTTTGAAGATGTAATCCGGAGACATGTGTTTTATACAACTGCCTTCTGTGACAGACTGTGTTCTCTCTTCGACTCCCTCCACATATTTGCAATCAAACACCAGCATTTTCTCTATCTCCTTAGCTATCATACTCTGCTTCCACCAGGCATTCCATTGATTTTCTTCCAGAAAGTGGAGAGTAACACTTGTGCAGTTCTTCGTGACATCTTTCAAAAAAGCTGCGTTAGAAAGGATTACCTACACATACTGAGCAGCTCATATTATAGACAGAAGCGTGCTACATGGCAGACCAATCTGAACTTATCTCTCGGCATGTCTAGCCCATCCATTATCTCAGCCAATCTTGCCTAGCGGAAAGGTTCCTGCCTTTATCCGTGGCTAAACCAACTAGGCTCGTAATTTAACAATTTCATTTTTATTTACAGATGCCATACAAGTTTGTTATTAAGGCACATGAAAGTTCACATGTTCCAGAAGGTATTTCTGCCCCAAAAAATGCTTTTTGATAAAAAAAAAAAAAAAATGTTTACATTCAAATGCCTCTGCTGTGATGTAGTGACACACCACATACGCCTACTTTCCTGAAACGAGTCACATTTGATTAATGTTTTATTAAAAATTATTGCTTTCAGCAAACAAAGAAAGGCACACAACAACAGAGGGCAAACATAGGTACACGGTAAGGGTTTAAGAATTTACATTTTTTATGTATCCACTGCATAGTGACTGGAAGGAGTAGGAGGTGAATTAAAAAAAAACTCCAGTCTGCACTCAACTCCTTGGATGAAATCAACCTGGAGTTGAGGTACTTGGCTACAGTGCGCACAGCCCAGAGGCAAATCCCATGAAAAAATTAAAATGAAAGCAGGCACGTTTTCTTTTCAAGTGCTTTTAAACAATAATAATGCATCATTCCTGACTATTCCTGACTATTCCTGACTATTGAATATCATGCGATTTTCTGGCCAACATCAGCATTTCATCCATATTGTATCAAGTCACATAACACCACTGGCACCTTTAAAGAGCGTAACTGGCCACCACCCCCTGACCAAGGAGCATCAGATCTAACATAGCATACAGTAGCTATCGCATTTATGGATGAATTCCATCAGAAAACGTGACACTCACCCTCCACGAGCAGACAAGATCCCAAAGAGAACACATCAATGTCTGAGAAGCCATCCGGTAAAGGGTAAGAAGACACCATCTTGAATGCGATTTTTCATACAAATAAAGTGCTAAAATCAGACCCACTTACTCGCTACTGTCCGCTCGCTTTAAGATGTGCATCTAACCTAACGGAACCCACTTATAAAGGAGCATTTCACGTGAAAAAGCTTGCACGTAATTATGTAAAGCTCCCTTGCCCCAATCCGCATAAGAATGTCTTACTGAACATAACACAAACCGCTGACCCCTTATCACGTATTTACACACCGCTACTCTAAAGCGCTCAATTACTTACACAACAAGCCTTTATGTCTGTGTGCGACCACCGTCCGGTGAAGGATGCCTGTGATGTCAAATGCACGCGTTTCATGTAGGCTACAGCTCTGTTTTGCTCGCGCGAGTCAACAGGTGTCCAGCTCATTGAAAGAATGTTCAGCACCCAGCCATATAGCCTACAGCCATTCATTCATGCTTCTTGTAGTCTACTGAATTTGCATGGCAGTAATATATTATACAGCACCATTTACAGCTCTACAATATCAGCTGCTGTTAGTTTGCCTTCTTCAAAGTCAGCCAGTGATAAAAAGGAGAGAGAGTACACTTTTCATTGGATGAGGATCTTCTTAGCTATAAACATAATAAATAAACACACATATTCATGAGGTACTACAAAAGTGTGTGTCTGTGTTTGTCTGTCCCTCCGTATAACAAACAATATACCCTATAGTGGTTCACAGCAGTTTAAATGAAAAGCGCCATGATTATGAAAAAGGTCACATGTTTACAAAATATATGGTTAGTTAGTTAGTTAGTTAGTTGTCATGTTTAAGTTCTGCATTATGCAAATTATATAAAATGCATCCCCCCAACAACCAAAGGAGAGATTGTGTTACCACTCAAAATGAATCCACTTGGTGGCAAGACTGGAACACTCCACAAATGGTTCACATACAGTGTCAAATCTTCTCAAAACATTGGATTCATGTTTAGGAGAACTGACTGCAAGATTTGTTCACACAATCATAGTCAAGTTATATTAACTATTCAAGTGTATTTTGGTGTTTTGTTTTATAAGGTTATTATGTTTTCAAATGGTAACTGACATGCTACTGTACACACACACACACATACACACACACATCTCAGTGATACACTGACCTCATTTCGAAACTGAAAGGCAATTAACTAATGGACTGGAACAAAGCAGGAGAAATTGTCCTTACTTTGAAATCAAATACACTATATATACAAAAGTATGTGGACACCCCTTCAAATTAGTGGATTAGGCTATTTAAGCCACACCCGTTGCTGACAGGTGTATAAAATGGAGCACACAACCATGCAATCTCCACAGACAAACATTGGCAGTAGAATGGCCTTACTGAAGATCTCAGTGACTTTCAATGTGGCACCGTAATAGGATGCCACCTTTCCAACAAATCAGTTCGTCAAATTTCTGCCCTGCTAGAGCTGGCCCGGTCAACTGTAAGTGCTGTTATCGTGAAGTGGAAACATCTAGGACCAACAACGGCTCAGCCGCGAAATGGTAGGCCAAACAAGCTCACAGAACGGGACCGCCGAGTGCTGAAGCGTGTAACAAGTTGCAACACTTACTATCAAGTTCCAAACTGCCTCTGGAAGCAATGTCAGCACAAAAACTGTTCGTCGGGAGCTTCATGAAATGGGTTTCCATGGCCGAGCAGCCGCACACAAGCCTAAGATCACCATGCGCAATGCCAAGTGTCGGCTGGAGTGGTGTAAAGCTCACCGCCATTGGACTCTGGAGCAGTGGAAACGCGTTCTCTGGAGTGATGAATCACACTTCACAAGCTGGCAGTCCGACGGATGAATCTGGGTTTGGTGGATGCCAGGAGAACTCTACCTGCCCTAATGCATAGTGTCAACTGTAAGGTTTGGTGGAGGAGGAATAATGGTCTGGGACTGTTTTTCATGGTTCGGGCTAGGCCCCTTAGTCCCAGTAAAGGGAAATCTTAACGCTACAGCATACAATAACATTCTAGACGATTCTTTGCTTCCAACTTTGTGGCAACAGTTTGGGGAAGGCCCTTTCCTGTTTCAGCATGACAATGCATCCGTGTACAAAGCGAGGTTCATACAGAAATGGTTTGTCGAGATCGGTGTTGAAGAACTTGACTGGCCTGCACAGAGCCCTCACCTCAACTCCATCAAACACCTTTGGGATGAATTGAAATGCCGACTGCAAGCCAGGCCTAATTGCCTAATTGCCCTAATTGCCCAACATCAGTGCTCGACCTCACTAATGCTCTTGTGGCTGAATGGAAAAAAGTCCCCTAAGCAATGTTCCAACATATAGTGAAAAGCCTTCCCAGATGAGTGGAGGCTGTTATAGCAGGGGGGACCAACTCCATATTAATGCCTGTGATTTTGGAATGAGATGTTCAATGAGCAGGTGGCGCAGCGGTCTAAGGCACTGCATCTCAGTGCTAGAGGTGTCACTACAGACCCTGGTTTGATTCCAGACTGTATCACAATCCGGCCGTGAATGGGAGGCTCATAGGGCGGTGCACAATTGGCCCGGCGTCGGCCGGGTTTGGCTGGGGTAGGCCGTCATTGTAAATAAGAATTTGTTCTTAACTGACTTGCCTAGTTAAATAAAGGTTAAATAAAAAAATAAGAAATGTAGTGTCACTGCAAGCATTTTATTAAATTATATAATTCAAGTTGTGAAATCTATGATAATAACTTCATGAGTAAACAAATCTAATGGAAAGTCAATTCTGTAAACATTGATAAAGTAATGTAATACAAAATGATGTTTTGTTGAACAATCATGAAGACTAGATGCTTTCTGACAAAGTGGTGAGAGATACAAAAGCCTCCACTTGGCATAAATTATACAATCTATTCTTTAGTGGAACATGCTATATCTGAAAATCCTAATTGGCGGCTTTTCATACCAAGGTGAGAATGAAGGTCATATTGTCTGGCTACAAATCTGGATTATCAGATTGGGAAACCATGGTAAATGTAATTGAAAACATGAAAAACCTTTAAGAAAGTGCAAAGTCATATGACGATGCAAATCATCATTACTAAATGAGGTCATTGGGTATTCTGTAATGTATTGCGTATTTTAATAAACTGATTTAGATACGTGTGCTTTCGGTTTCTGTTTTGGTCTGTGACCAAAATAAATACATGTTTCAACGCATGTTTATTCAGATCTGAGGCTATGAAATATTTGTCTTTTTAATGTGATAAAAACTAGGCTATGTATTTTAGTTATCTGTCCTGTATGAGTCTCTAATATGACTCGTCTGATACAGATTTGTGTCATTATAAACTGACCTGTTTATAGCATAGCTCTTAGATGCCTCTGATATGGAGCCAAGCTCACAAATCCAACTGTCCTTGGCTGACCTTAGTACAGCTGGCTTTAGGTGTACAGGGGAAATGCCATCTGCTGCACATGGGCTTTTTGGCCCTCATGATTTTTTTTTTTTCTTCATTAAATAAAAATAGAAAACATCAAGTACAATTTATTTCCAACATTTTACTTTGTCAATATCTATAATTTGAATATGTTTAACCTGTGCAAGTTTGTTGGGGCAACCTTTTGATAACCTTTTGATATTTCCCATTTATTAAAAAAATATATGCCAAATGTCTCTGGACTGTAAATTGTATCTGCCAAAAATATGCCAAGTTGTATCTAGCTTGTTTAGATTAAAAATGTTTCCTCATTGAGTTTGAATAAGGTAAGATTTTAAGGCAGACTTAATAATGAAATGTACTTTACAATGACCGTATATATATATATATATAGGGCGGCAGGTGGCTTAGTGGGTAAGAGCGTTGTGCCAGTAACCGAAAGGTCACTGGTTCTAATCCCCGAGCCGACTAGGTGAAAAATCTGTCTGTGCCCTTGAGCAAGGCACTTAACCCTAATTGCTCCTGTAAGTCGCTCTGGATAAGAGCGTCTGCTAAATGACTTAAAGAAAAAATATATATATATATGCATGTAGCCTAATTGCTAAAATGATCACATTATACAGTATATACAGTAGTCATCATTATAGTATACATGCATGTAGTCCCTTAGATAGAAGTCCAATCGTGTGTTCCTTATGGTGAAGCATGGTGGTGGCAGCATCATGCTGTGGGTATGTTTTTCAGCGGACAACGACAGGACAACGACCCTAAGCACACAGCCAAGACAACACAGGAGTGGCTTCAGGACAAGTCTCTGAATGTCCTTGAGTGGCCCAGCCAGAGCCCGGACTTGAACCCGATCGAACATCTCTGGAGAGACCAGAAAATAGCTGTGCAGCGACGCTCCCCATTAAACCTGACAGAGCTTGAGAGGATCTGCAGAGAAGAATGTGAGAAACTCGCCAAATACAGGTGTGCCAAGCTTGTAGCGTCATACCCAAGAAGACTTGAGGCTACAATCGCTGTCAATGGTGCCTCAACAAAGTACTGAGTAAATGGTCTGAATGCATATGTAAATGTGATATTTTTTTATTTTTAATTTTTATAAATTTGCAAACATATCGGGCCTCCCGAGTGGTGCAGTGGTCTAAAGCACTGCATCCCAGTGCTAGCTGTGCCTCTAGAGATCCTGGTTCGAATACAGGCTCTGTCGCAGCCGGCCGCGACCGAGAGACCCATGGGGCGGCACACAATTGGCCAAGCGCCGTCAAGGGTAGGGGAGGGTTTGGCCGGCAGGGATGTTCTTGTCCCATCGCGCACTAGCGAATCCTGTGGCGGGCCGGGCGCAGTGCTTGCTGACTCAGCCGCCAGGTGTACAGTGTTTCCTCCAGCACATTGGTGCGGCTGGCTTCCGGGTTAAGCGGGCACTGTGTCAAGAAGCAGTGCGGCTCGGTTGTGTTGTGTTTCGGAGGACGCACGACTCTCGACCTTCGCCTCTCCTGTGTCCGTATTGAAGTTGCAGCGATGGGACAATTGGATACCACGAAATTGGGGAGAAAAAGGGGGTAAAATACCCACCAAAAAAACCCCACCTGTTTTTGCTTTGTCGTTATGGAGTATTGTGTGTAGATTGAATACTTTACGAATGCATCTCCTTAAACGTAAATGTTTGGTTGTGTAGAAAACCAAACACAATTTAGTATTACTTTTGTAATACAGTAAATAGCCGTAGGTGAAGGCTATCTTACAAACTAATGTAACAGTACTCAACCTTAAAATGAGTAAAAGATCCATAGCCACATTTTGGGGTACTGTAACTATAAATGATCTTATATAATCATAGAAATTGTGCATTTTGAAGATGGTTACAGGTCTGTGGAGATCTTCACAATTGCTTTAATAATCTGTGCAGAATCTCGAACAGCATTGATCACTTGCACCATGTACTTTTTTATTAAATCAACTCAACTG